GCTTGCGTTCGCACCCAAGGAGCCCACTATCAAGTCTCGCAGGATCGCCATCCTCGTTGCTGATGGCTTCAACCTCGGCGAAGTGGAGGCGCTTCGTGCTGCGTTCAAGGCCGGAATGGCGACTACCTGGATCATTGGTCCTCGCCGTGGCGTTGTCTACCCTTCGGGCGAGGAGGTCGGATCTGGCAAGGGTTACAGCGCTGACCACCACTACGAGGGTCAGCGCAGCACCATGTTCGACGCTATCATCATCCCAAGCGGTGCAAAGCACGCACAAGCATTGGCTGAGTCTGGCCGTACCATTCACTGGGTCCGGGAGGCCTTCGGGCACTGCAAGCCCATTGGAGCGCTGGGAGAGGGTAAGTCTTTTAGACAATCTCACGCAACCATTCTCTTATGCGTCGCTACAGGTGTCGCCTTCCTCCGTGAGGCAGTTCAGCTCCCTGGTGTGCAACTCGCAACCAACCTCGACAGCAACGTCGTCACAAGCTCTTACGGTGTCGTCACGGCGGGCAAGTACGACGCTGGCTCTGCGCTCGCCGATGCTCTCACCATCAAGCAAGACGAGAAGGGCTTCGTGTCCAGCTTCGCGTATGAGGTCAGCAAGCACCGCTGCTGGGAGCGTGAGCTCGACGGGCTCGTGTCGAAGGTCGCATTCTGAGCGAATAGTGTGTTAACTTCATAATTGGAGATCGGAAGGACAATCAGTCTTGTACATTAGTGTAGAATACGATTGGAATTTGCATAACTTCCGATGCATAAGAGACGAAGGAATGTGTGGACTGCGTCATTCTCAGGCTCATCGCAGCTTCATCGTGTTTTCGCGCGCCGCCGCGCTTGTCTGCAACTTTCCGCCGCAGGTGTGGTGCAAAAACACTAGCCCACCGCGAGGGTCGAACTCGCAGCCTTCAGATCACCCGCTAGTAAGAGTCTGACGCTCTATCCGATTGAGCTAAGCGGGCGATGTTAGCCGAGTGTAAGGTTTATATAGAGTGGTAATACTTAAGTAAGCAAGTGAGCGCAGCCAGTGTCGTAAGTCGTACTATCCGTCTCTGAGGATTGACATTAACGGCACAACTGCCTACGGTTTGGTCTCTCACTCTCGTAACGTCATATCTGTCTGGGGGACCAGGAGCAAGATGTCTCCGGAGGAGCAACCCAGTCCGGAGCTAGTACGCCAGGAGGAAGAGTACCTGCGTAAGGTTCACCCTACGCCTGAAGACATCCCGGGCTGCATGAAGCTCTTCGACGACTTCCTCCTCTGCAACGGCAAGTGCTCTGCACACCATCACACGCGCAATTCATGCCTGACCGGGGTGCTGGGCGTATAGTGATCAGCTCGCAGGCGCGCTCGCTGTACCGGTACGGCGAGATGGCGACGTGCCAGCCGAAGCTCGAGGACTTCAAGTTCTGCATGAGCGTGAAGGGCATGCACCCGGAGGAGAAGCGCGACGTGTGGATCCGCCGCCGCGCGGAGTGGTGGGCGCGCCGGAGGATGCAGAAGAGCAGCGAGGACGTGTGGGATGTCCGGACGTGAGTGCTGAGGTCGTCCTTCTGATTTTTGGCCATGGTGGGCTGATGGGGCGTGTATGGATGGGTGCAGGGAACCCCTGCAGGATTTCCCTCCGCGCAGGCTGGACCCGAATGTGCAGGCACCTCAGACTTATGAGTAGTGCTCTTACCCGTGCGACTTGCCTAGAGGCAGGTCGGTACGCCCCGCAACTCACCGGGGTACACTCAGGACACAGGCATATCGTGCGTTCGCTCATCCTGAAGCGCGCATTAGTGGCTTGCAAGGCCGCCTTACACTTTCCGACCGATATCACCTTGGCCTAGGAATCATGCCGGGAAATATGTATCTTATCCAGAATGGGAAGAATACAACGTACATTACGCAAGGCGTCTAATACAGCTACATGATAACCTACAATGCGAGACAGCAAACCAGCTAGCGAGAGAGGGGACAAGCAAGAATCCAGGCTAGACACCGACCCTGCAAGACAGCGTCAGCTCACATTCGTCGCGTGGGCAGTAGGAAGAACTTACCGATGGACAATCTTCTTTTGTCCAGAGAACCTAATGATTTCCCGCTTCTCCATGATGTACAGCGTACGCTCGAGAGCGTGGCTTGAGTAGCCCTGCTGAGTGACGAACTCACGAACCAGACTCTGGTAGCTTGTGCTCCAACCGATAGGTAGGCGACGGCGGATCTCCTTCTCGATCTTGTTCATCTCCTCGTTGAGAGCTCCGCGGGAAAGGCCGTCGGCGGAGCCTGCAGAGACGGCGTCCATGGTGGAGAACTTGAACAACCGAATGGCTTCTTCGACGTGGTGATTCTGTACTACCGGAGAGAGCGTGAGCTTTGCCAGAGATTCCGAGATTCGGATGATGGCCTCCAGTTGTCTGGCGGTACGTTAGCGAACGTTGATTGTTGAGATAGTCAATGCGTCAGGCTCACCGGATAGTAATTGGGATTGAACTGCGTTCGTCATTGTCCTCTTCAACCTGCTTAACTTGCTTGCGCAGCGAGACGAAATGGCTGCTAAGCATCTCTTGTGCCTCTGCTGAGAGACGTGGTGCGCATTTCCTGCGAGGCGGTCAGACCACTGAACAACTCGATGCACAAGTATGATACGTACGCTTTGCAGTAAGCAATGAATCGCTTCATCTTTTCCAGGTCAATGTCACCAACGGCGTCACCGTGTTCGTCAACACTCTGGTTGGGACGGTTCATGTGAATGTTCATGACGTGCTTCGCGATCATCTATCCGCAGAAGGTCAGTATAAGTTTCGCATTCGACGGTTATAGGCATGTCGCACTCTGTCGCGTTGCTCGTTGTGCTCATCTCTGACAATGAATATCATGTCGAAACGGGACAAGATCGTAGTCTGGAAGTCGATGTTCTACGGCACCTCGGTGAGTAACAGGCCCTATCGTTGTGCAGAATCTTGCGCGAGAAACGAACCTCTCCGGGGCTGCGTCCTTCGTCATAACGACCCCAAACAGGGTTTGCAGCTGCCAGTACACTCGTGCGCGAGTTGAGGACCGTGGTAATACCAGCCTTGGCAATAGAAATTGTCTGCTGTTCCATAGCTTCGTGAATAGCGACCCGATCCTCGTCTCGCATCTTGTCAAACTCGTCGATACAAACGACACCGGTGTCCGCAAGGACCATGGCGCCACCTTCGAGGTAGAATTCGCGCTAGATACAGAGTTAGCTTCGCGAGGACGCCAGTCAGGTAGCGTAGGCGTACCGAAACTGAATCGCGCTGGACAGAAGCCGTTAGACCTGCCGCACTAGAACCTTTGCCGGACGTGTATACAGCGATCGGTGCGACCTAAACACGTTCAGCAGGATTTAACAGCCGGGTTACAATTCCATACCTTCTCAACGAACTTGAGCAGCTGACTCTTGGCCGTACCGGGGTCACCCAGGAGAAGTACATTGATATCACCTCGCAGCCGCATTCCGTCGGGCAGAATCTTCTTGGAGCCACCCACCAATAGACAGGTTATGGCCTTCTTGATGTCTATAAGCGAGTTGACATCAGGAAGGGCATACGTCCTCAGTGGCAATAAGGACCTACCCAAACTGCCGTAGATACTTGGTGCGACGCTCTTGGCAAATCTCTCATAGAAGCCTTCACTGCGAGCCATCTCACCAAACTCTTCCTCTTCTTCTGGAGAGAATTGCACACCGAACGGATTTGCACCACCGGAGCCACCCGCCGCAGGGGAAGAGACCTCAAGATGGACGAGTCGAAGGTAAGGGTCCCGCAATGCGGCTGCACCCTTCGATCGCTGTGATTCACATGTCAGAGAGAGGAAGCCTTTGTGATAACAGATCGCCTGTCCGTACTCACATTCTTGGCTGACTGGAATGTCGAGTAAACACCCGTCGCAATTACTCGCGAGCCGGGGACGACCTGACCAGTCAAGTATCTATCTGCAGACAGTAACATATGGCGAGGCAGCTCTCCAACGGGAACCATGTCCGGAGCTTCCTGCAGCTTGAGGGTCTGGTGGTCGGTGAAAGATGACTTGGAATGGATGATGAGGTATGGGTCGAGCGGGCAATCCTTCTTCTGGTTCTCCAGTTCAGGAGCGTCACAAACTCTCGGAAGTCCACGATCGGAGCCACCACCAAGGCCACCGAGGCCGCTAGGAGGGTATATGATCTTTGTCGACCTGCAAGCGCGACATTGGAGATGCAGTTTCGTTGCACGAGATGAGAGGACTGAGGCGGAGATGACAATGCCGGGTATGCGGACAAGCTTGTTCATAGTGTTGGCCGTCAGGTCGCGGAACTGCTGCAGGTTAAGACCAGACTTGATGAGGACCTGAACATTCGGTATTGACTGTTGCGCTGCCTCGGATCCGCTGGAAAGCGGAAAGAGGATGGTTCGTGCTGCCTTCGCTGCAGCAGACTCGAACTGACTCTTGGTCAGTATCCAAAGGCAGCCAAGATTCATTCGTACATGGGCTAACATGGACATACCAATGGCAGTATCTCTCCCGGCCTCTCCTGAATCGCGTGCGCTAACTCATCGTTGTACAAGCCGACATGTCGCAGATCAACCTCAACCTGGTGCTGCTTGAGCAGTAGGTTCGCTCGCAGCTTATCTCTGTACGCGTGTATTCAAAGCAGGCCCGAGTCAACGTGCTCATCATGACATACCTGTATATGAAGTCACCACCAACGCGGTACTGAAGGAGGAAGTCGAGTAGGAGCTTCTCCGTCTGAGAAGGGAGTTCGGGGGCCGTAGGTTCTGGAACGTCGTGAACAGCAACAGAGTACACGCGATCGGAATCAAAGCCAGACATCTTGTACGTCTCCTGTACAGCAGATGGGTATGTGGTAAGGAGGGAAGAGATGAGACACGCTCAATCCACTCTGGACGCGACGCGAGCCACAAATGAATCTTCAGGGCAGGCCTATTCGCGTCGACGTGCCCCAAGCAAAGTCGGTATTGCCAAATAGCACGGTCTCTCCAACAAGTCCCGCTTAGCTCAGTTGGTAGAGCGCGTCACTAGTACACCGCGTGTCTTGTATGGCACTCGAGGTGATGACGAGGTCAGTCGTTCAAGTCGGCTAGTGGGAATTCTTTTTTCTCTTCTTAAAGCCTAGAACTTATGTCTTTCATGGTATACATATGTTGCGCAGGTTCTCTGCGCAGGCATCAAAGAAAGCGAAGCATTAATATAGGTTTGTTTAGGTTGGAATACTGTACGGTACCTGGAAGCACATCGAGCGCCTGATTCATACTAATATACCTTTCGCCACTGCAGTGATTGCACTGCAGACATCCTCTCTGCGGAACCACTTCCCACCTTTCCACCGTTAGCCCATCTCAATGGCCTCAATGGATACCGATGAGCTTCCTGTTGTCTTGCCTTCAACGACAAACACGTCCGGGCTCTCTATATCACTGTGTGTGACCCTGCATGCCCTGCTCGCATCTGCCGCCACTGACGCGTATGTACCAGCCACCCGCTACCAATACTCAACATCTCGGAGCATCTCACTCGGTTGCGTCTCCAAACGCGATCGAGAGTACCATTTGGTGTGTTCAAGTTTCCTGACGTGAACTTCAGGTTGCTGATCAAGAGTTATATAGTGCTTGGTGCCCTGCTGGGCACACAGAACGGCAGAGATGTCGAAATCGTGAACACTTTCGAATTGGCCGTAGAAGATGACGGCGTCACCGTCGATCAGGGGTTTCTTGTCACCCGCAAGGAGCAATGTACGTGCCGCAGCGGACTGGCTATGACCTTTCGCTGAATATCTTTCATCGTGCAGACAAACAAGTGTTCCCTTCCCTTGAATTCATCGGATGGTACACGGTTGCGGAACGGCCTACATCTCGCCACATAGCTCTCCATGAACAAGTGCGTGAGGCCTCGGATTCACGATGCCTCAGCCTCTCATTGCCCCATAGTTCACACCATACAGCTCGACACCACTGCTACTCGTCCTCCAGCCTTCGACTGTGTTCGCTGCGTCGGCAGATGCGTCTGGCTCCCTCCCTCTCAAGGCGTACGAGCCCACAGTAGAGATCCGCGATCGCAAGACCCGTTCTGTGTTCATAGAGGCGCCATTCTCGGTAGAAACGGGAGAGGCGGAACGCATTGCTGTGGATTATGCTGCGAAGGGTGGATCGGCGGGCACCAGCTGTATGTCGCCTTCTCTTTCAGCCGATCCTTAACCGTGTGCTTACGGATTTCAGTGGAAGCACATTTGCAGACACAACGTGCTGCCGTCAAGATGCTCCATGACCGTATACTGCTGCTCGTCAAATACGTGTCGGACGTGATCGCAGGTCCGTAACCTCTGGTAGCTGAATTCGGACCCATCCTCATACAACGGTGTTCCAGGTTCTGCAACGAAGGATCATGCTACCCTTCGTGCACTTTCTGCTCTGATCGCTTCGCTTCCTGCGAGTGAGAACAAAGAGTTCAGGGAGGAGTTTGATACTGTATGTTGTGCGAAACACTGGTGCCGACATATACTGATTCCACTCTTCAGGAATACGAGGATGTGCAACTTACAGCTTACCTCGCCACCCTCACTAAGTCTGCCAACCTCCTGAACGACGTGAGTTGTGATTGCGTCTCTGATCAGTCATGCACCCTATCTAACGCCGTTCTTGCAGCTGGTGGACAAGCATGTTGTCCTGACTTCCTCCCGGGACGAGCGTTCTGGTATGGGCCCACGCCGACGAGGGATGATGGGGCGACCGGCGGACTTCGACCGCTTCCACTGATCGCCATCGCCATCCCCTACATTTTCGCATGCATTGTCATCTACGCACCTTGCGTGTGTATCAACATTGGCCCTTCAGAACCCAGTCTTGCACTTGCTACTTGTATCATGTTCTGTTCTGTGTACTAGCAATCGTCGCGCGCATATTTGCCATTGAAGTCGTAAAGTATTGTGATCCTATATATATAATCCACCGGTGGAACGTGGACGGTGCCTATGAGCGAGCATGAAGCAGTGAGCGAGCCATCTTCCTCGGGGGTCGGCCGTATGTACACGTGAGCGTGATTTCGACCGCGCGAGCGCAACGCGTCGCGGAGTGTGGCTGATCCAGGCTTGCTGGTGAGCACGACCCACGGGTTCATCGGCTGTGTTGTCTGGATCGTTGTCCCCGCTTCCACATTCTCAGGCCTGAGCTCCAGACATATTCTGCTTGCGTGTCTCAACCCGGGCGTGTCCGTATATATCAGAGGAAAGACAGGGGCGATCTGCGAACGTCCCGACCACCACTTGCCCGGATATACTCACCTGACCGCTGCAGGCAACCTCACTACCACTATCCGAGTTTCACTCAATCATGGCAAAGGTTTCGACGCTCTCGTGGTCTTCATTCTTCGCGTTGTTCAATGCTCAGGGTCTCTATCAAGTAGGATATGCTTGGTTGTTCGGCATGAGTGAGTTGAGAGCTATACTACCCCAGGTACTTATCCGGACATCCGTACTGACGTCCACATCCTAAGCTCTATGGGTCACCTTCATCGGCGGTAAGCTCCATCCCTACCCATCACCTCCCAGACGTCAAATGAACGCATCTTGCAGGGACCATCGCGTTCAAGACACTTCCCCGTCAGCAATTCGGGAACCTGCAGCACCGCACCTTCCCAATCTACTTCGTCCTCAGCATCGCGCTCTCTTCGTCTCTGCTTGGTCTCTGGGTTTATAGCCACCCATCAGTGCTCCAGAACTACTTGCACCCGACACAGGGTGACGTCGCACAAGCCTACGCGCTAGCGGCTGTCGTGCTGAGCCAGGCTTCGAACCACGCCATCATTGGGCCCCTGACGAGCAAGTGGGTGTTGTATATGGAAGTGGAGGCGAGTCTTGAGACTGAATCCATCTGTCTCTCTAGGACGATGTTCAAGCGCCACAAGCTTGAGAAGGAGGAGGGCAAGGCGTATAACGAGCCGAATGTGAGCACATTATTCGATTTCCCGTACAGCATGGTCGCTGACTCTGCCGTTCGCAAGGTGTCAGCTGAGATGAAAGCCCTGAACAAGCTCTTCGCCCAGCTGCACGGCATAAGCTCTCTTGCGAACTTGACCGCCTTCCTTGCTCTGCTCTTCCATGGCCTTTGGATCGGGAACACGGGTGCAGGGATCAAGAGTGTCCTCTGATTTCATGCTGTAATGTCATATGTAAACGTACCTGTACCGGGAGAACGATTGGATTGGATAGGCCGTGCATATTACTCAGTCGCGTCAGCGAAAGGGGAGAACAAGATGGAAACGATACCAATGTTACATTCATCGTACAAGGCCACAATCATGCACCGACAGAATCCATGCCCGGGAGGAATCCCTCCCTCAACATCCGCTCCAGCCTCCGAATCTCCTCGACCGAGGTCGCGCGCGCGATCGCCTCGCGCACCTTGTCCGCCTCCTCCTTGGACATGAGCCTGCCGGCCTTGCCGTGCTGCAGCGCGGGCTTGGGCTCGTCGCTTGTAACGGGCGGTTTTGACGAGTGCGTGGAGACGGTCTGAGAGAGCTTTGTTGCGAGTTGGGTGGGGAGGCCGTCTGCAGTCAGGAAAAGGGATCGCCCAGCTTGCCGTTCCTGCATATGCGGGGAATGGGTGTTAGAGACGTGGAACGTGCATATAGACGAGAAGCGCGGACCTTCTCCCGGATTCTCTGGAAGTCAAGCACCCTCAAGTTCGGGAGGCGGAACGCGAGCCATTCGCGGTAATATTTCTTCTCGCGCACGGGGTTGCCGATGAGAGACAGGTACTGCAGCGACTTGACGTCCTTGAGGGGTTCGAGGTCGCCGAGTTCTGCAAGATTGTTGTTGGTGAGGACGAGGGTGGTGAGGTTGGGGACGGAGAGGTGCAGGGATTGTGAGATGGAGGATATTCGGTTGTTCGCGAGAAGAAGGGTGCGGAGACGGCGGAGGAGGGGGATGTTTCCTAGCACGATGATGGAGTTGTCGGTGAAGTCTATGCAGTCATTTTGATCCTGTATATCAGCGTAAGCATACGCGATCCTTTCCAAAGGCGAACGGGGGGATGAGGATGATATACCTTGGTGATACCAAGATTTTCGATTGCAGGAATGGTGTACCCTGAGAAAAGGACCGTTATTACACGCGCGCGCTGAACGACGACAAAGACATGCCTCTGAGGTCCAGCTGGCGCTCCTTGACGGGGTTGAGCTGCGAGGGCACAGACTCGATGAGCTCGGGCGTGAGCTTGACCATGGTCGGTGCTGGTCGTGGTTGTGCGCGAGGCGGGCAGGCGAACCAATCCTGGGGCGCTGTCGGGGCAAGCGCGCAAGCAGGTGTGGCGCGTGCAATCACGACGCGGCGCGCTGCCTGCGGACTGGCTCGCGCGTTCAAGCCCGTACGCAGCGTGCATCACCGTCCCCTCTCCTCCCTCTCTCCCTCACCGTCACCACCATGAAGTCCCTGCACCAGAGGCTCACTCTGTTCGTGTCTCTATCATATCTCCCGTCCTGGCACTAACACCACGCTCGCGTGTACAGCTACAGCGACGGGAACGAGACATACACGTTCGTTCCTGCCGAACCGGTGGGAGCCCGCTCCTTGACTGTCTATCGGAATTCTGGTGATATTGTGCTCAATGGTATGTCCCCGTTCGTCGTGTGTCCAATTCTACAGTCTCACGTCCGTCAAGCACCAAATACGCCAATACCCGTTACCGCCGAACGCTCCCCGAAGACGATATACGGCATTTATGGAATGATAACGCTCGCCATGTGTATGCGTCCTATCGCGCGTGTTGTGGTCATGCACTGACCTTGATGCAGCCGACTACATCATCGTCATTACTGGGCGGGAGCTGCGCGGTCATCTTATGAGGCAGAACATCTACCGGGCCACCGAGTACGATATCCTCCCTCTGAACCCAGACGTCTCCGTCCAATCACCACCCAACACCGTTGAATCACATCTTTTGGCACTTGTCCGCTCCCACTTGCAAGGCGGCACTTTCTTCTTCAGCTATGCTTGGGACATTACGCGGCGGTTGCAGGCTCAGTGGCAGACACTCCAGCAGGATGGTGACAAAGCGCTCTGGGAAATTGTATGTCCTCGTTATGCGGATTGATTGAG